TAGCTCACAGACATCTACCTTTCCCCACCTCTAATATCATTACTCAGACACTTACCTTCCTTCCCTTCCCCCCTCTCCCCCGCATACCCCTTCTGTTCTGAAATGTGATTTGTCCTTTTCATATGTGTTCATTTTTTTTAATTGTATCCTTTGGTATATATGGTTGAGACTATTTATTTTTTTCCACTATTTGATCTGAGGAAGTGGGTCTGGCCCACGAAAGCTCATCATCTAATAAACCATCTTGTTAGTCTTTAAAGTGCTACATAGTCCTGTATTTTGTTTCAGCTACACCAGACTAACACGGCTACATTTCTATCAGTGTAATACAAAATGATATTGTTATAATCATTCATTTGTTCCTGTTTTCTTTCCTACCTTCCACTTAATGAGCAAAGATTTGAATTATTATTACAATTTTAGAATGTTTTAAAATTACAGACTACAAACTAAATATTACTGTAGTCTGTGGACATGTTAACTATTTTAACAGGAATAATAAACAAATAACATACTGATTCAGTGAATGGAGAATCACAGAGTAGAGAATGTAAATGTGTATCTGAGTTTGAAGACTGATACTGCTGACTCACATAGGGAAGGTGATTATAAATGTTACAGTTGGGATTCAAACGAGGGGGTGGAGGGAAATGTGCAGTGTTTCCATTGTCACCATCCACAGAGTTTCAGCTTTTGAAAATCCCACTCTTAAAAAATAAATGATTTTAATAATCTTATTTAAACTTTATCTAACAAAGCAATTTTAATTTTTTTAAAATTGTCGCAGTTCTGCTTGAAATTTCAAGAATATTAAACACTGGTTTGGATATGGAAACCCTGTCTATATGTGTACGGTTGTGTGAGCAAGGTATAAACCCAGAGGCCTTATCTTCAGTAATTAAAGAACTACGCAAGGCTACAGAAGCACTAAAGGTAAGGCAGTTTATGAAAAACATGCAGCTGTCTTTTTTAAATTAATGCAAATCGAATTTCAGATTACTGCATTTTCAACTTGTCATATGGAATTTTACATTTCCCTTGCATTTCAAATAAAATAAAATAATCTTAGGAAATAAATCCTGTTGCCTTCTTTCTTTATTGCTAATTGCATTTGGTCCAAAGCATGGAATCTGCAGATAGCAAACCAGTAGTGTAGACAAAGCCTTTTTGTTGTTGTTTACAACTTGACAAGTTGGTGTAACCACATGACTCTGCATGGGTCTGTAGTGAAACATGCCCTAATCTGAACACCACCTGCATGAGTCAGTGCAAAAAGTCCAGACTACAGGTCCTTGACAGAATTATATACTTGGCATCCTTGTGTCATATTTTGTCAAAACATGGATAAATTAATAAAAGAAGGATAGTGAGAGTGAGAAATTGTTAAAATGAAAATATTCAATAAAAGAGCCATTTAAGCAACGTATTAAGATTAAATATCACGTGATTTATTTTCTACAAATTATTTAAACATTATTAACAAAATAAAAGTAGTTGCAAGAAATAACCATAAGTGTTATTCCTGATTTTTAGCTCCACAGTATCTATTCTCAGTTTATTATAATGAATTATACTTATCTTTCTAGGCTGCTGAAAATATGACAAGTTGACTTCATGGGAGAGGATCTTTTTGATGAGAGAAATGTCAAGCTAACAGAGGTTTGAAGACTGGCTGCTATTCAGAAATATAGAATCAAGTTCCTGTATATTCAGGTTTCAAAAAAAAATCTGTAATCTTTTTTTTATAAAAGGATGAAATATAAAAGTGTAAGGCTTTATAGAAAAGTGAAAAGGCATATGACTTATCTAATATTATTCATTGTTTGTTTTGTCCTTGTTTTACAGACTGTAGTTTTTAGCATTATTATGTATTCCTTATAAACCTGAGCTTTACTTTTATAAACAGTCTGTCAAATATTGCTTGTTGACTGACTAAATCTACAAGTTTAGTGAAATTTAGTCACTTAATCTATATGATAGAGAGAACGTATTCAGAGACTTATTATAAACTCTTAATTTTAAATGGCTAATGCATAATGGACTGAGAAGTTTATTTTCCATTGGTCTGAAACTTGGCATTCAATTTCAGACACCATTTTGTATGTATAGGCTATAATTTAAATACTTTCTGATTTTTGTTTTTAATCCGAGAGCAGAGAAAAATAATGTGAGCATGTTTCCTTCTTTAATTTAAAAAAAAAATGCTTCATATTTCAAATGGAAACTTATGATTTTGGTAGTTTGTGTTTTTTTATAACTAAATATTTATTTAAAAAAAAAAGATTGTCTGCAAGCAGTTATCATACATTTAAATTAGTGTATAGTTGAATTCCATAATCTCTTACGCATTGTATGGAACATCTTATTGACTTCATTAGTGCTTTAGTTAGATTTATATCCTGGCCATTACAGATCACAAAAATGCTCATGGAATATTTATTATCTTTATCCTAGTCAAAGGATAGAACGGAGATGTCAAACTCATTAAGGAAGGGCCACATTCCGTTTGTATTTATGGTCAGTGAATATAGGACTGTTTAATCCCCTCAATTAGACTATATAGTAACTACATTTTTGGTTATCATTTTAGCATTCATTATCACGCAGAAAGAAAATATACTCACACACAGGAGAACTACAATTTCTCCCCTTTATTTCTCTTTCTATCCTTTTTTCTTCATTTTTCCCTT